TCTTTCCCTTTGACCTGGGGGCATAATCTCCAGTCATCTCTTTGACAAAAATCAAAATAATTGTCAGCTCTATTTTCCCCCCCTCACAAATTTGCTTCTGCTTATTTTGGAGCTAGATATGAAGACTCCTGAGTAAAAAATGAACTGGATAAGTTGTGCTTATGTGTTTTATGAAGGTTTTCTTGGGTCCTTAGTGTTGAGAAACCGCAGAACTAATGACAAGTGACAGATTAATGCTACGCGTTTGCAAAACCCCTTTGAGAGGAACAGACACTGTTGCCTATTGTGGTGGGTTGACCCTGGCTAGATGCCTGGTGCCCACCAAAGCTGCTCTGTCATTCCCCCTCCTCAGCTGGACAGGGGAGAGATCATTCACCAATTACTGTCACGGGCAAAACAGACTTGACTCGGGGAAATTAATTTATTACCAATCAAATCAGAGTAGGATAATGAGAAATAAAAACCAAATCATAAAACACATTCCCCCCACCCCTCCCTTCTTCCTGGGCTCAACTTTGCTCCTGAATTCTTTCCCTCCTCCCCTCCAGTGGCGCACAGGGATGGGGGATGAGAGTTATGGTCAGTTCATCACGTGTTTCTGCCACTCCTTCTTCCTCAGGGGGAGGACTCCTCACACTCTTCCCCTGCTCTAGCGTGGGGTCCCTCCCACAGGAGACAGTCCTCCAGGAACTTCTCCAACCTGAGTCCTTCCCCTGGGCTGCAGTTCTTCACAAACTGCTCCAGCCTGGGTCCCTTCCAGGGAAGGGTGCCGTCCTTCAGGAACAGGCTGCTCCAGCCTGGGTCCCCCACGGGGTCACAAGTCCTGCCAGCAAACCTGCTCCAGCCTGGGCTCCTCTCTCCAGGGGGCCACAGGTCCTGCCAGGAGCCTGCTCCAGTGTGGGCTGCCCACGGTGTCACGGCCTGCTTCAGGTGCATCCACCTGCACCAGCGTGGGGTCCTCCACGGGCTGCAGGGGCACAGCCGGCCTCACCATGGTCTTCATAGAAGGCTGCAGGGGAGTCTGTGCTCTGGTGCCTGCAGCACCTCTGCCCCTCCTTCACTGACCTTGGTGTCTGCAGAGTTGTTTCCCTCATGTTCTCACTCCTCTCTCTGGCTGCAGTTGTGCAGGTTTTTCCCCCTCTTCTTAACTCTGTTATCTCAGAGGTGCAACCACTGTTGCTGATGGGCTTGGCCAGCAGCAGGTCCATCTTGGAGGCGGCTGGCACTGTCTCTATCGGACACAGGGGAAGCTTCTAGCAGCTTCTCACAGAAGCCACCCTTGTAGCCCCCCTTGCCATGCAAACCCAACACAGCAGGCTGTAATTAAAATCATGTCTGAAGTATTTATGACTGAAGTTTTTTCAAATAAGGTTTTTTTCCACCTTATTCCCTTAAGGGAAGGTGATGTTACAGTTAACATTACAATCTCTGTTCTGTAAAGCAAGAGACCTGCACATTAGTGCTTTATAAATCATAAATAGCTTCCTCTAGCAAAGTTCACATACATACAGACAGCTATACAAATTAGAGCAGGGAGATTTCTAACTAAATGTCATCCTGGTAATACAGAGGAGTATCACCAGTGAATAAAGCACTGGTAGGTCAAAATGAAATAGCTACCTACTAAAATACACACTTCAAACTATGGGACTATAAATGTCTCTGATTTGTTGCCAGATGCTAGCAAATGTTCTGTTTAGAGCATTAGTTAAAGAAATAAAAACAATACACTTAATTACTATTTAAAAATGAGTTTTAAATATATAGAATAGTTATAAGGAGAACAGATAATAACTTTATACAGTTAAGTAAATTGTTTCATAGTTCTTGCATAGTTCTTTGGATGTAGTGGAAGTACTCAACAGCGTTCAGCTGCATAAATTGGTGTTGGCAAAGAGAATGTAACCTATTCCTAAGGAGGTGTCTATATTTGCTGAACACGGCATAAGGGAGAATAACCCTTATGTATTAAGCTGACTTACTGTAATAGAGTATTCTGAGTTTCTTTGTCATAAGTGTGAAAAGAAGGATCCTAATTTGAAACCAGCCAGGCTTCAGAGGTGGACAGCCGGACTGACTTATTACGTATAGACATGATGCGTGGGTAATATCGTTAGAACTTTTCAGAGGTGTCTTTCTCTACCTTTAAGCAGAATTAGTGTATTCTGGGGTAAATTATTATGAAGAAGGTTACAAATGAGTTCTATTAGAAAAATACCTTCAACATTAGTTGCAGCCAATACATGCTAATAAAATGCTGTCTCAGTCAAGTAAATATTTTCTCCCTCATTTTTATTAATGGATATTTGGGAGACAAGAGTTAAGGAATAATAGAGGGAATGGAAACACGCATTTGTCACTATTTAGCAGTTTAATTCTGTTTTGTCTCTAAAATAGAGCTATAAAGTCTCCACAGGAAGGAAAGCCAGATGGGTGTGGGAG